GTGCCGGCCTGTCGATCGGCCGGCGGGCGGGCGTGCGAAATTACGGGAGCGATTTTCTCGCGCTCCCGGGAATACCTGCCAATCAGTGTCGCGAATATTCTCACACGCCGCCGATATCTGCTTGCGCGCGCGCCCGCGTATATACAAGGTGTCTGGAAATTCCAGGCGTAACGCTGGTGAGCAGGTGGGGCGAAAACAAACCGAATAGAGAGAAGCCATGTACCATTTGGCAAATTTCTCAATGGTTATTAAGGAATTGATTAGACAAACTGGGAGCGTGGTAAACGAGAACGAACTCGTCGTAGCTGTACGTAAAGAAAAGCTTCTATGTATGTAAGAGAGATGTTTTACTTCTTAGACCGCTATTTCATATGCATCTTTTCTCGTTCCTCTGAGCGCGTAATTAAACTTGATAATTTCTATTGCGATAAATGGAGTTAATTCAGAAGTAATTTAACATTTAATTAAGGCAGTTTTTACTCGTGTAACTTTTAAAACGCAATTAAATTAATTTTGGGCCGTTAACTTTAAATTTAACTTAATTAAGAAAAACTAACCTATCAACCTAAGAGAAGCAAGAGACATCTTAATAACTGAAAGCTATCTTACTTTTTACATGCCTGCAAAATCGATCTTATCGTTTTTCGCTTATTCGCTCGCGTCTGATTAATTTCTCAACAACTACTGCAAAATTTGTCAAATAAAATACCGAGTAACTTTCCTGACCGGCTCGATCCGTTCTATCTGCGCATGTGCGTTATTTATATGCCTTGAATCCTCAGACACCCTGTGCATGCATGTGTGTGCGCGCAGAGTGTGTATGCGTGCGCGTATGTGTATGTGAGATCGCCCGTTCGGCCGCGGGAGGGGAGGGGGAGCGACTCTTCCAATCTGAATATCTACGATATTCTCGCGCGCTCGTTAGCCGTCGTTATCGTTGCCGTCATTCTCGATTCCGTGTCAACAATAATCCCGCGCACGTACTGAAAGACACGAAGGGCCAACTCACACTTGTGTGTGTGTCGTGCCCCCGTGACAGGTCACCAGAGAGAGAGCAGAAGCGCGCATCCGTCGGGATACAGCAGCGGTGATCACCAATTTATCGCGCGGACTATGTGTGTGTGTGTATGTGCGTGTGCGAGTTTCGCGGGGGAACGTGCGCGTTAAATAATTTGCACAGCAGTAGCATCGAGCAGGGCCGTCGTTTAATTCCGATTTTCATCCGGAATTTTCGTTGAATTAGATTAACCCTTAGAACCACGCGCGCACACCTGCACGCTCGGTTGGTTGATTGGTCGGTCGGTCGGCCGATCGCTCGGTTGATTGGTTGGTTCGTCGCATGCGCGTTCCCGCCGGGCACGATTGTCAAGCGAATATCCCGAACACGTTTTAGCGTGTGATTCTCCGCGAGTGTTGCAGATCGTAACGTTCGTAGAATCGGCGGTTACCTTTGAAAATGCGAAAACACACGGAGGGAAGGGGGGGGGAGGCTGCGGAGCTGATAATGCTTACATTAACTCGGCTTTTGCGTCAGCGCCGCTGAGACTCCTTCATCGATCTGTCTCGCGAACATTCCGAAGTTCGCTTCTTCGGGAAGAAGTGCGATGTGGAACGGTCGGAAGCGGAGCTGCGTGAAAAACGCGCGGCGTTAACCCGGTAACTAAACGAAGCGTTTTTCCGCACGACGGAAGCTTAAAATATCGAGATCTGATCTAATGTAGCGGTTGGTAACTTAAGATTTCACGAACGTTTACTTCGATCGGCTACTTTCGCAGCTGTCTCTCGATAAATTTGGCCAATCGCGTATCCTCGAAATTCGAATTGCAATTCGCGACGTTGACGGTAGATTAGACGGTTCATCGATGCCGCACGTCTGTCAACATACCGACAGTATTTTAGCGTCTATGCATCTCTCTCTCTCTCTCTTTCTCTCTCTCTCTCGCTCGCTCTCCGTCTCTTTCTACCCCTTTCCATCCTCCCCGCTCGCGACGGGACCGCAGTCGCGATTATTAGGTGTGCAATTTCGCGTGACGCGATAATTGTCGGCGCAAGCAAATTTACGCGTTTCGCGCAGGGACAGAACTACCAAAGCGATCTTACTTAGAACTCGCCGGCGAATGGCGATACCGACGTTTGCGCGACTAAGAACGAACGAGCGAATGAAACGGGGGAAACTTTTTAATTGGACGTCCTTAATTAGCCGAGTCTCGGTAATTATACTGTCTCTCGCTCCGTTTCCGTCTCTTTCTCTCTTTCTCCTTCTCCCCCTTCCCCTCCTCTCTCTCGCTTTCTCTCCCCCTATCTCCACTTATCTATCTATCCATCTATCCATCTATTTATCTATCTCTCTGCCTCTCTTCTCGGCCTGTACATCAACTATACCGGCACGCGTTCCCACTCTTCGTGTTTTCGTTCGAATTCACCGGCGCACAGAGCTCGTGATTAACCATATTTACTCATATTTCATAGCGAATAAATGTGAGTACATTCTCCAAATAACGGCGGCGGCAGCACCGTGCACAAATCACGTGCACGCACGTTTATGTACAGGGTCCGCCACCCGAAATCCGAACGAAATGAACAATTCGTTGAAACAAATTTCTATTCGTCAATATGGTAAAAATTGCAAAAAACCTTTTGTGCATCACTAGTAGTATCCTTTTAGGGTAAAATTACTCTATACAAGCCCCTTTTGATTCGATGACTGCTTCGATCCTCGTTCTGAAGCGCCGGCACGCTCTCTGCAACGCGTCCTTGTCCGTATTGGCGAATGTCGCCTCGATTGCGGCCTGGAGAGACGTCACGTCGGGATGTCTCGACTTGTTGGCCACTCGTTCAATGACACATAGTAGTCCAACGGATTCAAATCTGGACTGTTCGGAGGCTAGAAGGAAATTACAGCGAGCAACTCTGCCCATTTCGGCAGCCTCGGAGAGCATTCGTCGAACTTTCGTCACATAGGACTTGAAGCGTAGATTCTCCTCAGCACCTATATTTCACGTGCGTTTCGATATTTCACGCAGCGTACGATTCGATTGGGAGAATCAGTATCGACGAAGGAGCGGAAGCGACTGAAAACCCGATTAATGCATTCTCTAGGCGCAATGACGTCGAAAATTTCGTATCGATACGTTCGAGAGTATCCCGGAGTTTTTGAACCTGGCTGCGATATCTCGAAGAATTGCACGGGAAGTAACTCAGTTTCTGCAACCGGCTGAGGACCAGATGAAAACTCGATCGTAAGAACTGAAAATTCGTTGACGAGAAGTAGTGCCTCGGTTAGCGTGACTTCCAGGGGAGGGGGGCACCGGAGACCGTTCTCTCGGATTTCGCTGAACTTGAAATATGTTATAGTGTTACACTGATGCACGGTAAAACCACTCGATGTAACTTTCAAATATTCGCGAGGAAATCGACTTTGAAAGTTTGGGCGCACCTTATTATATATCGCGAGTTTTCGACATAAAGGTGCGTGATTGGCCGAACAGACACTTCCTATAGGAGTCTTTCCGTTCTTACGGCCGGGATTTCGTCTCCAGATATACAATGGAAAATCCAATTGCACCAACAGAATTGTTTTTAAACAGAACTGTTTTTACTGCGTTTCCAACTTGATTTAGCGTCCGGGTCATTTTGCGATCATACGCATGTGCGATTAATATTTTATTAATATTTCCGACACGTTCCGCGGGACGAAGCTCGCGACTTACATCGTTCGGCTTCACCGGGAATTGCATTCCGGCAGCGCGCGAACGTCACTCGCGATCAAGCGCGTCACATCGTCGTGTGTTGTGCTGCGACTCCGGCCGCATCGAGCGCGCGCATTTATATTTCACCAGAATACAGGACACACGCGAAATCATTTCAATATCCCCTTTTAGTTTTTAGCGACAGCGTGTGCCATATTGCAATTGCATCGTGATAAGATCGCACGCATACCCGCATGATTGAGCGAGCGAGCGGCCGGGCGAGCATATCATTTGCGTGCTTTCACGTTTTATTTGATTTTTATCGTCCTCGCGCACGGGCCGCACCGGGACGAGAAACACGCTTCTCATTTCCGAACATTTCGACGGCGCCCCGTGTATCAACGAACGGCTGGCTGGCCGCGCGCGCAGGACAATCATGAAAAGCCCGGAATCACTCGCGCACAGGTTTCGAAATGTATCACTTTTCCAAAGTAACTCGGTCGATTATAAATGCTGAAAGTAGCTGGCTCGTTATTGTTACTCAGAGAACAAGTCCTTGGGATTCTCGTTAATTTCTCGCTAAATCCCCACCAAATTTCTAAGGCTTCCTTCGCTACTTGCTGCCGCTCATTTACATGTATGTGTATTATACATGTGCAGAGTAACGATGAACAACGATTAAACGACAATAATATTCGTCACCGTTGCTCAGAAGATGTAATTATATTACCTTAACCGTTATCAGTTAAAAAATAGCGACATTACCAAGTGGTTATTTAAAAAAAGAGGCTTATAACGATAATAGCATTATTTTAGGATGCCATTCGATCTTAGAGGAAGTTAAAAAGGGAAATTAGCGACCTGTAACCTGTTAATTTTGGCCGTATAAAATCTGTATAGGGATGTTGGTAGAGAATAATAATTTCTTGCGGGAGGGAAATAATGTTAACGACGCGTGTCACGCGCGCCGAAACACTTTTCTCAGTTTTAAACACATGCAGTTAGGCATTAGTTTCTACCGTCGAACTGACCCTGCATCTCGCTGATGTTGAATTTAAATTCCCCACCGATTCCAATTCAACGTGATGCTCTTTTGTATGTACAGGGTGGCGCAAAATAAGCTGAACGATTACTCTTGAAAATTTTTTACATTATACGTGAAAAATCATATCGCCCGAATGACCGTCCGCCACCTTTCTCGCACGCAAACGTGTGCTCTCCTCGCGGCGTTTTTCATGCCGATTATCATCATTTGTCGTCATTATTGTCAGCATCATTATCACCATGCGACCTTTCGCATTGTGGTTCCAGAAAGCGGCAGGCAAATCGGACCGCACGCTTGCACGGTGTGCCAAAATGTCGTCGAGGGGAACAACCACAGCCGTGCGTTGCCGCGCAGCCAAGCGTCGCAATACGGTCTGCGGGAGGATCAGGTGCTACCTGGCGCGCGCGTCTGCAACACCTGCAGATGCAAGGCTGTCCGAGGACGTTACACCGCCTGTCCGTTGCCCGGTTGTCCAAATCTGCACAACAGCTCGAAGGCTAGGGTGAAGCGACTGAGAGCGTTACCGTCGAAGTGGCTCGACCTGCCCCCGGAGATCCGAGAGCCGATCGCTCAGGAATTCCGTGAGTACAATTACTGCCGCGCTGATAACGAGAAGTTTCAAGCGGCTCGAAGACGATCGCCACGGCGATACATTAGCCGCCACAGAATTCCCACAGAATTATACGCACTTTGTATATAACATTTAATCCTTTGAATTCCGGTTTTTTATTTTGAAAATTTATATATATATATATAGTTATAGTTATCATCATTATTGCGACGTGTTAAATGTTTCGCCCGTTCTGTTACAGAAATACCGAATAGCGCGACGAAATGCTGCTCGGTCTGCTTCAGTCGAATATCGCGACGGTTGGCGCCGCACCTCGCCGGCGGTACCGAAACGTCCGACGACGTTGTTGACTTAATGTCACGCCAGTGGACCGACGAGGAACTGGAGTTACTTCGTAAGGCGTTGCGTGAACACGGCACCAACTGGCTGAAGGTCGCCGAGCAGATACCCGGGAAAACTAATCATCAGTGCAAGAATTATTACTTTGCCAATCGTAAGAAGCTGTGTCTCGATCAGGTCGTGGCCGAGTATTACCAATCGTTGGGGGAAGAACGAAGACCATGCCTGACGGACGAAGAGGAGAGTGGTAGTAGCACTAGTAGTTGCGACGAATTAGCCGTAAGTTCGTTGATACAAGTGATACAGAATATTTTATCAGCATCGGAGATTTTTTTTTTATCAACCCACACGTCACCTTTTTTTTTTTATTAGCAGCTGTTGAAATATTAGGCGGTTCTTTTATATTCACGGGTCTTTTCTCACGGATATTGAACAAAGTTTTTGTCAGTTTAAGCATCGAACGAAATTGAAGAGAGATCGACAAGTGAGAAGAGAGAGAACGCTGATGAGTGTTGATACGAAGCAGTTTTCAAATAGAAATATACCGACGAATGGAATCTGTATAGAAAAAACGGAGAATTCTTAGAGCCGTTGCAGGACAATATTCTTAAATTATGAAAACTGATCACATTACCTATAAGCAAACGTTTAATATTTGAATTACATGGTTTATCAATATATTCGGTTAAAAATGAAAAGTCGTTATTAACAATGACTTCCTTCGATATATTCAATAAGAAGAAAATTCCGCGAGGTCTGGGGGAAGGCAGCACATATATAAATAAATAATATATATGTACACATCAGTACACATGAATATGTGCATTACGTATAGACGCGTGATGAGAAAAATGTGGTTTCATTATTTTCCCTCGTACAGGTTCACGACTCGAGCGACACAGCCAGCGCGGGAAGTCCGGCGAACACCATGACCGGTAACGCGTCGGTGGTACCTGGCGGTTCCTCGACGTCATCCTCGTTACCGATGTCCTTCCAACGATCCACAGACCAGAAGCTTGGAGAGAAACTCTCGGACATAGCTGTGGTATCCCTAGTCCCATCCGTTGGATCGTCTCATCAGTCTTCCAGCAGCGCAGGTACTGCCGCAGCATCCAGTGGCGCCAGAGAGGATTATGACAGTTCAGCCACGGTAAGACAAAGCTCTTAATTTGATCCAGTAAGCTCGTCTCGTTCTCATCTCGTGTATCTCGTTGCCGATTACGCTCGATAAGAAAAACGTTGATACCGTTCCGTGCTGTTGTCGCAGATTGTTTCGAAATCTCGAGTCTCCTAATATCATGATGACAAATCCGAAATTCCCATCGCATTAAAAGCAAGAATAAAAGTTGACGTTGTCGGCGAAGCGTTTGTTAAAAGATGTTTATCAGTCTGACGTAACATTTCTTTTTTACGATATATACGTCATCGGTTTTTCGTCTCCGTTGAACTCAACAATGGCAACTATACTTCGAATATAAAACAATGCCTTCGTACGATAGGACCGTCTGATAGAGGTGCGCTAATTGTTTCAGGAGACAGCGGACGAAGGTCAGGGTGGTGCTGACTTAGATAATAACAGCGTCGTTGTGACACTGACGAGTGCCAGCAATACGCCGTTGCAACAACAGGGTCAGCAGCAGCATCAACAACAGCAGCAGCAGCAGCAGCAACAACAACAGCAGCAGCAGCAACAACAACCACAACAACCTCCGCCTGTCGTTCATTCGCCGCCTTCCACAACGAGCAATTCCAATCCTCTTACCGTGAAGGATCTTATGCTTGGAGTTATCGAGATGCAATTGAAGCGTCCAATGGTCAATAGTCCAGCTGATAGTGGCTCGTCCGGTCCCAATAGTTCCGGCACGCCGACGATAACCAGTATATTAAAGGCGGACGTTCATCGTCACGAGATAACATTTGTGCGTGGCTACAAGCCGCCTTCGAGCATGACGAACACCTCATTGTCCAATAGAGACTCGAATTTGGCGACGCTGTCTGTCGTGTCAGGACCGCATCATGGTCATCGTTCTGCACCCAGCCCAAAGCTCGGTAAGTTCTCGTCGTTTCGAATTCTTCGTTATTCGCGGTGACGTGCTCGAGTTTTTCCGGGCGCAAAGTTCCACCCGAAAGGTAGAGTGCCGATTGGATTCTCCCACTCTGGACGGTCCTTTCGTTCGAAATTGAAGAATGTTAAAAAAGGGCCGAAGAACCGTTCCTTTCGCTTACAATGATTCTTAACATCCTTCTCCAGAGACCGGTGGTGATTAGCGCGGAATTGATTCTCTCCTTCTCCCTCCAGCTCAGATGCAGGCTACCATAACCCCTTGTCCCCCCACGGCGCCGAGCAGTCAGACCTCTTCGTCGTCGTCGGACATATTCCCGAAGGAAGGGCTGGTTGTGATGCAAGTGCAACAGGCGCTCCGGGAAACCGAAGGTACGCTGGACTTGAGCATCAAGAAGCCGCGGCAGCAGCAGGACTACAACCACTCGCTGCAGAACCTGCACAAGCCTCCGACCGGCACGCTGTACCGGCAGGAGCCGCCGTCGGCCGCTTACTATCACTCGCACGGGCCGCACCCGGAACAGGGTCGGGGCGCGAAGAGTCCGCTGGTGTACGCGTCTTCTCCTCGGCCGCAGGCGGCGGCCATCAGCACCAAGATGAACAAAGTGTCCGTGCCGCCGCCGCCGCCGCCGCCGCCTCACCCGAAGCTGTCGCCGAAACTGGGCACGCCCGGTCACAAAGGCGGCTCCATCACGCACGGCACGCCGGTCTCGACCGCGCGCTACGAGGGTCTGCTGCGGCAGATGACGCCGCCCGGCGGCAACCCGACGACGGTGAGCGTCGCGACGACCGGGGGCGGCGTCGTGAACGCCAGCGCCGGCGGGCAAAAGGAGACGGGCTCGATCACCCAGGGCACACCGGTGCACCCGTTCGCGGTGGACAAGCGCGGCGCGCCGATGTACGACTACCATCGCGCGATCCGACACTCCCCGGTGACCGGGGGCGGGGGGAGCGTGCCGGCGGGGCAGGCCGGCGGCCAGCCGGCGTCGGCCGCCGTGGTGGTGAGTCACGGCGGTGCCGGCCAGTACAACTCGTACTCCGGCCGGCCGCCGCCCAGCTACACCATGGAGCAGCTCTCCTCCCGGCAGATCATCATGAACGACTACATCACCAGCCAGCAGATGCACGCGCGCGCGAGAGGCGGGGGGACGGCGGCCGGCGCCGGCGAGACGGCCGCCGGTAAGAGCAACGAGCAGCCGCCGCCTCCGCCGCCGCCTCCCTCGACCTTGTACTACGCGAGCACGCCGCCGCCGCCGCCGCCTCAGACGCACACGCAGCCGCGGCAGGGCGTCATCCAGAGGCACAATCCGCAGAAGCAGCTGCACTATCAACCGCCGCCCGGGCTGGAGGCCTTCTCCAGCCTGGTGGACGTGGCGGTGCAGCAACCCAGTCTTCCGGTGCCGCACCCCCACGGGCCGCATCCGGCGGCCTCCGCCGGCGGCGGTGGCCACGAGGGCCTCGGCAAGACCATGGCCGACCGGCTGCTGGCCGATCATTACGTCGACAACAACCGGGCGTTCCGCGAGCAGGAGATGCAGCGGCTGCAGGAGCACCGGATGGCGATGCAGGCGGAGCACAGGATGCAGGCGGCGGCGGTCGCGCATCACCATCAGCAGCGCGACCGCGAGAGGGAGCGCGATCTCGCGCATCTGCGGGAGAAGGAGGAGCACCGACTGCACCGGGAGAAGGAGATGCAGCAGCAGTTCGTCGAGCATCGTCTGGTCGTTCAGCAGCGCGAGAAGGAGATACAGCAGCAGGAGCAGCACGCCCAGCGGCTGGCCCAGCAACAGCGGGAGAAGGACATGCAGCACGTGGTGGAGCATCGTCTGCCCATGCAGCGGGAGAAGGAGATGCAGCAGCACGAGCAGCAGCACCGTATGACCGTCCATCAGCAGCAGCGGGAGAAGGAGCTCCGGCATCAGATGGTGGTGGCCGCTCAGCGCGAGAAGGAGCACCAGGAGCACCGTCTGATCGTCCAGCAGCAGCACCGCGAGAAGGAGATCCAGCAGCAGGAGCAGAGGCTCGCGATCCACCAGCAGCAGCGCGAGAAGGATATCCAGCAGCGCGAGCGGGACCTCCAGCATCTCCAGCAGATCCAGCAGCAGCAGATGCAGCAGCAGCAGATCCAGCAGCACATGCAGCAGCAGCGCATGGAGGCGGAGAGGAGGCACATGGCGCATCAGATATACAGAGATCAGCAGCAGCTCGACCGGGACTCCTCGCGGCTGTTGAACAGCGGTTTCTCCCAGCAGTCATCGCGGTTGCAGCAGCAGTCGCAGCAGCATCAGCAGCAGTCGTCGTCCAGGCAGAGCCAGTCCTCGTCCGGTCAACAGCAGAACGACTCGTCGTCGACACTGACCGCCGCTAGTCTAATCGACGCCATCATAACGCATCAGATCAATCAGAGTGTCGAGAATTCCGGCGGTAGCGGGTCCTCTGCTAATCAGCCTACGCGCGCGGGCGATCGCCTCTTCCAGGTAGGGTGAGCGTTCTCGTTCGCTCCCGCTCTTCTTTCTTTCTTTTTCCTCTCCCCCCTCCCGTGTCTCGTCGCGTTTCCAATCCGCGCATTTGCTGCAGCGGCGGACCGCGCGGCACCACCGAGTGTTGTTGAACGCGAATCGAAAACGCGTGTCTATTCTGTTCTCGTTCTCTTCAGGGATTTCATCGCGAGGCCGCGCAAGAATCCAACGGTATTGCGCACAGTCCTGCGGGCGACGGAGTGGGCGGCGGTGCCAGCGGAAATGGAAGTGGAGGCAACAAAGCGATCACTCTCGGCGAGCACGTCGAGCACATCGTGTCGAAAGATTTCTGCCCGCCGCACTCATCTTACAGACCTTACACCGGGTAAATTCACCTCCCTTTCGTAAAGCGTTACTTCGATCAAACTGTTCTTCCACACACGCACACATTATTCGTCCTCGTCCGTCATCGTTTAGCGCGATACACGCACGTTGTATCCTTTAAAAAGGGGAAGCGTTTCGCGTCACGGAAGGATGACATTTTGGAAGACGGTGTTATTGCAGGATTCAAATTAAACTTGCGAAACGGGGTTGACGGACAAACTTTCATGTCGCAATTGCACAGAGTGCGTGGTACCGATCTGTATGCAACACCTTGTACATACGAGTGTGTGTGTGTGTACTGGAATCGTTAAAAAGTATACTTTGTGAATAACCGAGGAATTCTCATCTCCTATCACGCAGATACCAAATTCCCGAGGATCAGTGGAAACGACGGAAAATGAACGAGCCGGACTCGGTGAAGACTGGAGACGAGCGTCAGATAATACGCGTCGCCCAACAGCAGCAGCAGCAACAGCAGCATCAATCAGCGTCCTCCTCCGTGGGGAAGCAACAATTCCAGCATTCTGTCGAGCCCGTCTCGCCCCCGGAAGCTACCAGCAATCACTACGGGCGTCGTTTCTACGAATCGACCACTGCCACATCCACTTCCGGTACACCCTCCAACAAGCCCCATCTGTCGCCGTTAGATTACGTAAAGAACAAGATCGTGGAAGTGATGCGAACGTCCGAGGACGATAAGGCTGCTGCTGGCAGCGGTACCGCGGTTTCCTCCGACCGGAATGGCGGCGGCGGCGGCGTCAGCGACAAAACGGCGGACGAGAAGGTGGCGGTGGCGAACGCGGAGAGGAGGAGCCCGTCCGTCGTCGGCGGCACCACCGGCGGCGAAATGGTGGTCGACGAAGCGACCACCCCGCAACCACCGCCCGCACCGGCGGCGGCGCCGACGAATTTCTATCCGTTCAGCGCGTTAGGCGTGCACACGGGCCCACCGCCGGCGCCGCCACCCACCGCCACGTCGACTGTCTCCGCCACCGTCACAAAGTCCGAACAGATGCAACCCGAGCCGGCGCCGTTGCTCTCGGCGCAATACGAGCCACTCTCGGACGAGGATTGATAGTCGCGTCGGTAATCGCGTGGTGCTATCGCTACTTACTGTTCTTTTGTAAAATTAGTTTGCGAGAAATAATACTGTGACGCATGTTTCCTTGGGGGGAAATGAATCCTGCAAGAATCTATTCGAGTATTGGACGATTCAACCGATATATATATATATATATATATACGCTTATGGGTGTCGCAGAGGCCATTGCGTTCTTCATCGGTCGCCAAATCCCTAATCTAATTTAAGAGACTTCTTCTTTTATATATATGTGTGTGTGTGTGTGTGTGTGTGTGTGTGTGTGTGTGTGTGTGTGTGTGTGTGTGTGTGTGTGTGTGTGTGTGTGTGTGTGTGTGTGTGTGTGTGTGTGTGTGTGTGTGTGTGTGTGTGTGTGTGTGTGTGTGTGTGTGTGTGTGTGTGTGTGTGTGTGTGTGTGTGTGTGTGTGTGTGTGTGTGTGTGTGTGTGTGTGTGTGTGTGTGTGTGTGTGTGTGTGTGTGTGTGTGTGTGTGTGTGTGTGTGTGTGTGTGTGTGTGTGTGTGTGTGTGTGTGTGTGTGTGTGTGTGTGTGTGTGTGTGTGTGTGTGTGTGTGTGTGTGTGTGTGTGTGTGTGTGTGTGTGTGTGTGTGTGTGTGTGTGTGTGTGTGTGTGTGTGTGTGTGTGTGTGTGTGTGTGTGTGTGTGTGTGTGTGTGTGTGTGTGTGTGTGTGTGTGTGTGTGTGTGTGTGTGTGTGTGTGTGTGTGTGTGTGTGTGTGTGTGTGTGTGTGTGTGTGTGTGTGTGTGTGTGTGTGTGTGTGTGTGTGTGTGTGTGTGTGTGTGTGTGTGTGTGTGTGTGTGTGTGTGTGTGTGTGTGTGTGTGTGTGTGTGTGTGTGTGTGTGTGTGTGTGTGTGTGTGTGTGTGTGTGTGTGTGTGTGTGTGTGTGTGTGTGTGTGTGTGTGTGTGTGTGTGTGTGTGTGTGTGTGTGTGTGTGTGTGTGTGTGTGTGTGTGTGTGTGTGTGTGTGTGTGTGTGTGTGTGTGTGTGTGTGTGTGTGTGTGTGTGTGTGTGTGTGTGTGTGTGTGTGTGTGTGTGTGTGTGTGTGTAGATATATGCATATACAAGAATTCTCGATCTCCTCGAAACCGGACGAGGATCAAGCGGTATGATGTTTTTAACGAAGTCCCAACACAACACGTTGTTTTATGTAAATTTTGTAATTTTCATTGTATTTTTTTAATCAAAGAATCATTCCCGCGGTGTGCCAGAGAGGCGAACATTTATGAAATGAATAACTCGTTTTATCGCCTTTTGTGGTGTGTCGCAGACTTTCGGTTAAACGCGTAAAAACGAACACATTTACCTGCTAATTAGTTATATGCGGTGTATAATTTATAATGCTGACACATATTATATATATATATATATATATAACATATGTATACATATATATATATATATATAATACAAATTATATATATAATGCATTGACAATATATATAATTGTATATAAATATATATATATGTATATAGATGATATATATATATATAATTGTTTGCGCGAAACTGATGATATCCGATGACCGCCAAGATTTTAAAGAAACGCCTTTTGGAAGATTTAATCATGCGTGATCATATTTTAGTTTTAATAGAAAGAGATAATAGTGAGAGAGAGAGAGAGAGAGAGAGAGAGAGAGAGAGAGAGAGAGAGAACGATCGATTGAAAGAGAAAAAGAAAGATCAGTTCGCAACTTGGCTAGCTTGCGAAACTCATTACTTCACCGACTAGCAAATGTAATAACTCAAATTATGACGAAGAAGAAGGGAAGGTAGTTACAATCGTTAAATAATGTATACTCGCCTGTATTTTTTTTTTTCCACTTTTTAAGTCACTCTATACTCGCGCTGGGACGTGTATGTACGTTTGATGCTTCGTTTCGCGAAAAGAAAGAAGAAAGAAATAAAGGAAGAAGAAAAGGAATTGGCCGACATTTCGATAACCTGATGCGATGACCTATTTTTGTTGATACCACACGCGCGTGCAAGGCTTCAATCATTTAATTCAGGCAAATTATTTCCGTTCTTTTTTCTTGTTTCCTTGACATTGACTTAGGCTTGGTCTGTCCGCAAAACCGCTGCCAATTTGCGCGCAAGTACGATCTGCGGAACGTGTGTGTCTGTCTGTGTGATGTGTGGCGTGCGCTTATGTGTATATATATATATGTATATATACATACGTATTTGTATGTGTATATATATTATACGGTGAAAGAGAAAAGAAAAACAATGTAATTTAATACAAGCTGTAAATGACGCCCTTTCAATTCTACATATGTTAATATTTGTGTTCATATAATCATGTTCATCGCATCTGTACTGAGTTGATTAATTATTTAACTCATACGGCATATGTCATTTCAGATTTTTTTAATTGATTCTACGACTTGTATAATTAAGAGATGCAAGAAAATTAATATTAGTATTTTTCTTCTAAAGAAAACACACACACACACACACACACACATATATGTGTGTGTATATATACACTCAGCACACACACATACACCCACACACATATATATATAAATATATACATATTTGTTCACACGATACAGACGCTTCTTTTGTACATAATGATGAAGACGATGTATAATCGTTAAGCGATAATATACAACGCTGCGACGAAAACGCTGCGTATACAACGCTGATGGGGGGCGTATGTGTTTTTATTTGGAATGAATCTGTGATGTATCTGGAATTAATAGGTTCAACTGTTATTACACCAGTGCAAAGCGTAGCTTGTAGTTTGAAATAGAGGAAAGAAAAGAGTGTATGTGTGTTTTTGACAAAGAGAGCGAGAGAGAGGGAGAGATCGCGCGAGTATAATTTAACTCGTCGTGTTCTGACGATGAATCAACGTTTTAACGTCGTTCTCTTCTTGGTGAGAAGTGGGTTTAAGAGAGAAAAAAAAACAGTGAAAAAGAAGAAGGAAGCAGTAACCTCTATATAATTGTTGTACATAATATATAATAATATTAATTTCTAAGTTGAGAAGTAATATCGGCTAGATTATCCGTATGCTATCACATAAGGAGTTTAGGTTTAGCCGTAAAGATCGACGTAGCTAGCATTTAGGGGTTTAGACAGCCACGAACTGATTAGGGAGAAAGAACTTTGCTCTGCCCCCCTCGCCCTCACTCCCCTGCCCCGCTCCCGAACTACGTTCTCTTATTGATAAATGACAAGAAACGATATAAAAACACAGGCGATTAAATTGGTGGAATTGTTATCCGCAAAAACGAGATTATATGTGGACTTATTTTATTTATTTCGAACAAAAAGAACCCAAACGTATTATACGCATCGAATAACCGAACACGTGTCAACACGACACACGTTGCACACTCGCATACGTGCATTCACACACACACACACGCGCGCGCGCGCGTACACATGTGCCGCGCAACTTCGCACAGTTCGATCTTTGATTTGCACACGTGCGCGATGTAGTTTCAACTGCGTGCCTTCGTCATTTTCGTCATCGCTCGATTGATTTCTCCAAGAGCCCTGGTCATCGCGAGAGAGAGAGAGAGAGAGAGAGAGAGAGAGTCGCTCTCTTCCAGTGCAACGAAAAAAAAAACCAAAAATGTATTCCGCGTCGTCGTATCGCGCGACTGAGATCTCGAGATTTCACAGAGATTGCGCTCGAATAAAAAAAAAAAGAGAAAAGATAACTGCCTCTACTTATGCTGCTAAACTATCGATTGGTCTCGCGATAGAGAATACAAGGTGGGGAGGGGGAGGAGTTTTCTCCCCCTTTCGTTTTCACGACGTTCCCACGTATGGAATAATCCGATCTTCGCGTGCGAAAATTCGCCGATATTCTGTCTTTCGACTCGCGGTTCGCGTCCTCGCGAACGAATCGGTCTTCCCCGTTTCCCCTCCCTCGCTCCCCGCCTCATCTCGATTATTTTCCCGCCGCGAACGCTTCGGTTCCGGAAACGCGCGAGTGTTCTGTTTCCTCACTTTTTTAGTACGAGTACGTGTATCCCCTTCTCTTTCTCTTAAAGCCTGTCGAACCGCCGCGAAACCGATCGTCATCCGCGTGATGGGACGCGCGTGGAATGATTTCCCGACGATATTCTCCCTTACGACGATTCTTTGTCGCGGAATACGGCGTAACAGCAGCACCGTGTTATCACCGGGCGCACGCCTTCGAGGATTCCTCGTTGTTGTACAAAATGGAAAAGCTACTCCCGACAAAACTGTCGAATGCTTCCAGAGTATAAGTGGAGGTGGATATATATATATATATATATATATATATATATGTATGTATGTATAAATATGTGCACACATGCACGCAACAGGCGTACAGCCACGCGGCGGCGGAGGCTTCTGAAAGACGTCTTGAAAATGCCCGAAAGACGGTCTGAAAGACGTTCGAAGAAATAGGGCGCTTTTCTTAAGACGTCTTTCAGAAGTTACCTGGACACACACGGATGCATAACGCAAATATTTATTTAGAAAAGCGAGAA